TGGTACGGTTGAAATTTGACTATTTGGCAGTCTAAAATTTTATCCGTACCAGGCCATTTTTTCGGTACCTTGTGAAATGGGGCTTGATATTTCACAGCACAAAGGAAGATAAATGATTATATGAAAATTGAACCCTGGCGGCTTTGACGTCCGACTAATTACAACTTCTCAAATAAATGCACGTTTAGCAATAATACACAGCTAAGATTCTTGCCAAAAAATTAATAAACTACAAGTGTTCCCGGCCAATTTGAGCAAACATTTCAAGCAACAAACACTGAATAATGCGTTTAAAATTTTAATTAAGTTATCTAAGGATTTTCCGACGCCAATTTTGTAGTTAAAAATGGTAAAAAAGAAAAAAACAATGTTGAGAACGTTTATAAAGTAATATGACCGATTTACTGATTGAATACGAATCGAATTAATGTGCATGTACATTATCCGTGTTATATCACACGATCCCTTTTACTTAAGTCCGTTTGCCATTAAAGTATAATTTATTCGGGCGAGACGAGTCGTCGCAAGGCAGACTGATTATAATATTTGTTGCAAAATTTCTTTAAAGTCATTATTATTTCTCACAGGTTCGTTTCCAGAGCCTTTGTAAAATACTTCGCTCCGCACTTTTAATAAAGCCCCGGGAATGAGGTTGGGTATATGTGAACTGGGTCCGAAGTATTCACATCTTAGATCTATGCAACCTTTTTGAGGCATAACACTTTTCTAACCCTCATGAATTTCAAATATTGCAATTTTTAAAATATTGAAAATTTAAGTACTAATAATTATTCATATATTTCAATATATTTCCACTTAATTTACTTTAACATTGAACAGCACAAAATTAATTAAGAGCAACAAAATTCGAAGGGAAATTGAAAAATTTCTATCTATTAGGGCTTTTTCGACGTAAATTGACACACTTTACTCAGCGTTGCTAGGCTATATAAACGCGGGCAATAGTCACAATACTAAATAAGTCATGTTTTATAAACAGAGAAGCACTGCGGCCTCAATAAAAGAAAAACAGTGAAAGCCCGCGCTTCACGACACCAAGAGTACTTTAAAACAGGTGTAATTAAGATTCTGCAAACAGTTGCATAATGGCTGTCTTACTAAGCATTTGTGCTTTAGTTTTCATCTCAAGAATACTCCAGCCGGGTGAATGCTCAGTCACCCAAGCTTTCTTTCGCAAAATTGATGGCAAATACTTGGCGAATCATGTCATCGAAACAAAACACACTGAAACCGAGCTAGAATGCAGTATGCATTGTGTTGCTCATGGATCATGTGTGTCGGTTAATTACAAAACCTCTGGAATCGGTAAAGGTCGATGTGAGCTCAACAACAAGACCCTGCAAGACACTGGCACATTTGACGATGATGAAAGTACGAGAAACCCCGAGTTCAAACATCTTTATTTGATCAAAAAGGTTTGACTAAAACGAAATTTATTTTTCCTAAAATTTCTGTTATTTCGAACTAGACGTACCAAGTGCTTTCTGAGAACTAATAATCCCGAGAAATATCAGATTGTCACGAGTAAATACGGCATAGTTCTCTTTTTTACATAGATACCTTCGAAACCATTTACAACACGTGCCCCAAAGTCGCTACAAAATCCCTCCAAAGGTACGATAATTTTTGTTTACGCATGAAATAATGAAAAGACACGCTTACAAAACAGACAAGTTTATCCGAACGGACAGGTATACGTATTCAAATAGCTGGAGCAAAGTCTCACGCACGCAAGACTTTTTATGTTTGAGAAATTTTAACATTTTCGACCAAACCATGCATGCTGTTTAACTCGTTGCTTAACTCGACGAGTTCGTCCCTATTTCATTTCCCTTTGTGTTTAGCTATCATGATAGCTTTAAAATAAATGCAAAAATAAAAAATCAATATGATTTATAAATGAACAACATATGGATAATAATATGTCACGTAGCATAATGTATAGGGATATATATTCATTTGATTTTTGTAACAAACACGTACAGGTATAAACACGATTTTACTCTAATACGTCCTTTGTATATTTTTGTTCCGTGATTTTACCACGAGAGTGTAGACGTAGAACTAAAATGTTAATTATGTCCCACGATATGGTTGTATACAGGACCGTAGCTAGCCCATTTAATTGGGGGTGTATATTCATATATTCATGTTTATATACCGTAGAAACAACAAACTACGAAAGAAATCAGTCGGGCATAGGACGAATATATTAATACCCCGCCCCCCTTGCAATAAGCTTCTAGAAACGGCCCTGGTTATTCGCATTGCCATGTCGATATTGCTAACCGAAAATAAAATGTATATAGAATAAAAAATGTGAATTTTTCTTTGTTGAATACATTAGGCCGTATTCTCTGGCACGAAAAGTCGCTTAGAAAACGATTTTCGTTGCCCCCCTTCGGGCACTACTTGAAAACACGATAGAAAATTAGGATAAATTATAGAAAGTCTAAATTCACTTGTTTTCACCTTCACAAACCTGCAGTTTTCGAGCATTTCATCTTCGAAAAATCAGTAAATTTGCATGTTTTGCAATACACCGACGCCATTTTGATTCAGGAAATGTATTGGATACTTGGTGTAATATACGACATATATTGCAGATTCAGCAGTTTTATACCGGGATTTAAATGAAGTTTCCTGCATTTTTGCTGCGCAAGCAGGTTTCAACAAGGAAGCTTTGAGTGGAGTTTTACGAGGTTTTTCACAAATTTTCATAGTTTTTCTAAACTAAATTAGTCAGAGAAGACTTAGACAATTTTGCTTACACGCATCAAAATCGTCCACGGGCGTTTTGTTTCAGTCAAGTTATATGAAATAATTACTACACAATTCCTTTCCTGCTTAACCTTTGTTTTATATTAACTACTTTTATAATACACACGTTTTCAACAAAACTATTTACAACATCTCAGTTTTTTTACAAAGTTAATTACCAACGCCTTTATCTTATTATCATCAATCCACTAAAAAAACGAATTTTTTGAGCGAAGACCCAGACATCTTTACGAAGTTGAAAGAGAACAAATTTCAAACATTTTCCTTATGAAAACGTGAGAGGACTTGTGAAAACTGCCAAGTTGGCCCAGTCTAAACTTGCTGAAGTATTGGAACCTGAATCAGGAAATCCAGAAGTCAATGTTATTCAGTCGATGAAAGGAAAATGCAAAACATTTGGCGATGATGCAGAGAGACAACGAAGAGCTGAAAAGTGAAAAAGGAGTCCAGAAAGTTCACATCTTCGGAAAAGATCAGAGTGTTCCAAAATAGTGGAAAAAGTGTTTAAGATCCGGTGAAAACAAGGAATCCCTCATATATTTTTTATGTGAACACTGGAGGTGATGGGACTCCTCCCGGTGGTTTTCCATTTCAACTATGTACGTAACTGCTAAAGAAAGATGCTATGTTTTATATCCCGGTGATTCCCCGAACGATAGTGTTACAAGTAATGAGGTGTCTTCGCTTCATAGCAACCACGAAAAAGCAGACACTCGTTTAATTCTACATGCTAACCACGCAGCAGCAACGTACGATAAAGTTGTTATCAAAATCTCTGATACAGATGTTCTTATACCTGCGATTACCATGCAACAACAGATGCAAAAAGAGATTTTCTTTTGACTGGCACGGGAGATGGACGTCGTTGCGTATTTGTAGCAATTATCTCGAAATTCTTGGGCGTAGATGTTGCTCCTTGTTTACCAGGCTTTCATGCTTTTACCGGTAATGGCATTAGCAATCAAGCAGCATCATAGTATCAGTGTTTAAGTGCAGAAATTGATCTTCCATCACCGGTTGGCAATGGCTGGACGTTTGACGATGAAGAGCTAGAGATAACTTGGATGACACGCCCACCCGCTCCGCGACCTTAAATTGAGTGTGTTGAGTGCAAGTGCAAGACTGGATGCTCGACCATGCGTCGTTATTCCTGCAAAAAGGCTGACTTAAAATGCACCGACCTATGTTTGTGTGGTGATTGCCAGAATGCAGTGGTTGAAGATGGTAATGAGAATAATAGCAGTTATGGCCTGGCTCAATCTGATGACGATGATGAACTTGAAGGATCAGGATCTATTCTGGATTTCGGAGATGACGTCGATGATGAGTTGTGGTATTAGCTGTCCGATTAAAAGGGTTGAGTTCAACGTTTCATTTGTGTTTTGAAATCATAAGGCTCTTGTAATTCTCCCACAATTTTATTTGGTTGAAATTGATTTAAGATACGCAGTATGTTGTTTCTGTATTATATAGTTTTAACTATAGCAAGTTAGTTTATTATAAAGGAGAGTAGCATCAGTGTATGGGGTAGTAAGGTTGTAGGATAATGCGTTCTTTTCTTATTTGCAAAATTCCAGACTTTGTTGTCTGCCAATTTGTTATGTGTTTTCTTTTCGGGTCAAAGAAAGAAAGATCAGCAATAAAAGAATTACCACAATTCAATTCTAAGAAGAAAGAGAAGCGTTGGCTTTTAACCTGTAAAAGCGTTGCTGCAGCATGGGAGGGAGAACACGCTCCAGATTTTCCCAGATTAAAAGAATTGTGTAGTATTTTTCGAAGATGTACTGATTTTTCGAAGATGAAATGCTCGAAAACTGCAGGTTTGTGAAGGTGAAAACAAGTGAATTTAGACTTTCTATAATTTATCCTAATTTTCTATCGTGTTTTCAAGTAGTGCCCGAAGGGGGGCAACGAAACTGAACGATAATCGGCCACAGAATACGCCTACATGGCTGTGAATGGTTTAAAAACGAAAATCGTCCAGTTAAAGATGAAACATTTTTTCATACTCGATATATATACATTAGTCAAGATTTTCTTCAAACGCATTGCAGCAGTAACAAAGACCTTTATCTTGATTTACAGGAATTTCGAATCACGTCAACAAATCTTGCTCCATTTTACGAAAGAAATACCCTTCAGCTGGTAGTGGGATGTATTTTATAAAACCTGATGTACTTAACTTCTCAGTTGAAGTTTATTGCAACATGACATCAAAGAATGGTGTTGGTGTGACAGAGATTGGACATCACAGCGAATCAAGAACATTGGTTAATGGATATAATTCTCGAGGTTCTTACAGCAGAAATATTAAATATAACATTACCATGGAGCAGATTGTCGCGATTATCAACCAGTCGAAGAATTGTGAGCAGTTTATAAAATATGAATGTTTTGGTAGCGTGTTGATGGCACATGGATGGTGGGTATCGCGTCAAGGTTCAAAGATGAATTACTGGGGTGGAGCGGCAGTCGACAGTGGAAAGTGTTCATGTGGAATGACCAACAGCTGTGCAGGTGGTAAAATATGTAATTGTGAAAATAATGACGCGGTGTGGCGTGAAGACAGTGGATACCTGACAGATAAGAACACGCTGCCTGTTACTGAGTTGCGATTTGGCGATGCTGGTTATGATAACGTAAGATATTTTAACGAGCTTGGTTATCATACACTGGGAAAATTACGTTGCTGGGAGTAACAGATGGAACATCAAACCTGATGTGATTGCTATAATATAATCATCTGACTGAATTTAGTTATCAATATTCACAAAACTAGACATGTAATAAACAAGACTATTCATTAATGGTGAATCAGCATGCTTTACTATAACATAGAACATTTTCTCTCAGGATGTCACATTATAAGAAGAACTTGACTTCCACTCGTAATTATAATTTTAACAAGACGCCGTTCTGGCGTTAACTCCGGCGCACGAGCCAGTCTTTAATATAGAGCTTCTGAACATAAACAATACAAATTATAATAACTTGTAGGTACACCACGTAAGTATTAAATACTGCAAAGCTTTCGGTCCGTTAACCCGGACCTTCATCAGTGCAAGAAGTTAAGTATTAAGTATAAGTATTAAGTAAAGTATTAAGTATAGTTAAGTATTAAGTATAGTTAAGTATTAAGTTATTATAATTACTAAAGTCGCCATGCAATCATACAAGAAGATTATAAACAATACAGTTCGCGTATTGTTTCGCATACATATTCGCATTTAGATGCCTTGCGAACCTAAATGTTCGATCGCGAAATTCAGAAGCACATCGCAGTATAGAAGTTCAACTGTTCAAAAATGTAATGATACATTCGCCTTTGGAATTCGCAGTTATATAGTTATATTAAATCTTCGATCCTGTGCAAACTACGCGACGTGTCAACGCGCCCATACACGACCACATTATCTTGTTAAACGGCGAAATAGCAGCGATATTACTAGAAATTTCTAATAGAAAGTGAAGTGCTGCGAAATGTACATATAGATTTTTATTTAATTTTTTCATAACATAATGTGACACATATCTAAATTATATGAAACATATCTAAAATAGGTTTATAATATTTATCATGACGCCACACATCATGAGATTTATCATGACGTCACACACTACATACATACCAAAACAGCGAGATCGTATACGCATACAGAATAGAATGCTCCTCGCTTCGCTCGCAGCAATAAAAATAGGACCGGAATCTACATGTATTAAATATATTCTTACCCCAATTCAATCTAAACTAAATCGAACAGCATGAAAAGAACGGTTTATTTGTTCCTCTTGGAGGAATTGCCGTATCATGCGAGCGAAATCGAATCGCGCATCGGAAAATTAGCCAAAGCTGTGCACCACAACTCTTAGGAGATAAGACTGGGACGTAGATAAATACAGTCACATACACACTTTAATTACTAGAATGTTTCCCGCCATTTCAGACTTGCGACGACGAAAAATAAAAAAAAAAAAAAAAAAAAAAAAACAACAACAAAAAACAACAAAACAAAACCGGGGCGAATTTTCAACTCCGTCGCTGACGCCGGAGTAATTAGTTATTACAAAGATTTTTACTGAAGGTTCTGGTCTTTGATTGTTTGAACGAGCTCGGATATTAGGCAGTATTGTTGGACCACTGCACCTTGCCTTCTTGTTTAGCGCATAAATCAGAAAGAAAACTATAATTCTTTGCAAATGCTTGTTTTACAAAAAGCGATGGCATCTCTTCACGGAAATAAAAAACCCATTAGGTCTTCTTATTGGCCTTTAAAACAAATAGAATAAGACACAATCTTGGGGAAACATTTGTCATCTAGTCCCGAGTACACAATACCGACAACCATACAGAAACACACACTCCACTAGCAAAATTGTCGACCAGTGATTTAAATCCACCCTCCCCTACTCACTAACCCACCCCATACCTATCTTTTACCATTACAATAACCCGCAGACGTCGTGTAATCCAATGCCCTGCCCGTTGTTCAGACTAATATACATATTTTACAGTCTGTAGAGAAAAATTATCCGGTGCTATAAAACATTTTGCATCGGAAGGTCCACGCACACGGACATTGATGCACATTTTATATCGAGCTCTTGACATTTTTTGTTGTTTTTATTTAAAAAGGGAAGCATGTTATAGGCTCCTGTAGCGTGCCCAAATCTTCCGCTTTAATTCCAACATGGCTGTCATATTGTAGTCTGTTTATTACAATGTTATAGAGTTGTTTATACTTATTACAATACTGATAGTCTTGTTATCGCTAATTCGGTATGGCTTTAAATGAATAAGAACTAGAGTTCCTCTCCAGACGAATGTGAACTAAGTATGAAGCAGTATGAAGCAGTATGAACGTGAAAACAGTGGATACCTGACAGACAAGTACACGCTGCCTGTTTCTCAACTGAGATTTGGCGATTCTGATAGAAATTATGATCAAATTTTGATGAGCGTGTTTATGATACACTAGGAAATTACGTTGCTGGCGATAAGAGATGGAACATCGAACCTGATGTGAATAATATAATTTTCTGGGGCCGGTTATCTGTTCGAAAGATGCATGGATAGCTTATCCAACGGATAAGTCTATGGCATAAAGCTGCTATCCAGTGGATAGTTATCCATTGGATAAAAACGCGTTGCACAAAGCATGGATAATGGAGTAGATAGCTATCCCGTAGTCCGTAGATATAAGTTAAAGTTTACCCGGAGGAAACAGGATTTTCCTGAAATTTCGTACCACAACGTCACTTGTTGCTGGGCGTTCATAACATTGTCGTTGAATTCATAATCATTATCAATTCTCTATTAGTTAGCTACTAGAATGGAAAAGACTTGAACAAGTGATTTGCTTGAACTTTACACTTCACATAATAGTGATTTTATTCTGTATCTAAAGTCGCGTTCCTTTTGTAAATCTATATTTGGATTTTTTGACTTTCTTCTGTATTTTTTTGGCCATGTGGTCATGGTCGCGACTGTGAGGATCTTCTCCTGTTTCTTTGTTATCAACATCTTCCTTATCAACAACTTTATATCTATTTTTATAAGAGCATTCTGCCACTGGCCTAACTGATGGATTACTTGCAAATATTTCATTTAGTTCTTCAAAAAATGAACCGGCACGTTTTGAAACTATTACCACTCTTGTTATTGTGAACAACCGTCTTAACATATATTTGTTTTAGGTTTTTGAATTTAACCTGACATTTGTCACTGGAATAAATTCGCTAAGTGGAAAACGAGTTTTAAGCATTGCTACATAAACACAGAAGTCATATTATTGTCACTATTTATTTTTTGTGGCCGCATGAGTATAGACAGTATATGGCTTTTTAAGAATTTGTCAATAATAATGACTTATAAATAAAATAAGATGTTATTTTGTTACTCCTTTTTGTAATATTAATGTTTTTAATTTAAATCGATTCCTTGAAACCCCATTTACACTAGGCATATAGTTTTAGGTTTGCAATGGATGAAATTTGGACCCATTTACCAAAACTAAAATTGAACACAGTATGAACGGATAAAATTGGTACGGTTGAAATTTGCCTATTTGGCAGTCTAAAATTCTATCCGTACCAGGCCATTTTTTCGGTACCTTCTGAAATGAGGCTTGATATTTCACAGCACAAGCGAAGATAAGTAATTATATGAAAATTGAACCCTGGCGGCTTTGACGTCCGACTAATTTCAACTTCTCAAATAAATGCACGTTTAGCAAAAAAATTAATAAACTACAAGTGTTCCCAGTCAATTTGAGCGAAGATTTCAAGCACCAAACACTGAATAATACGTTTAAAATTTTAATTAAGTTATCCAAGGATTTTCCAACGCTAATTTTGTAGCTAAAAATAATAATAAAAAAAAACAATGTTGGGAACGTTTATCTAAAATACCGTATCGTAGCATAGGCATGCTTGTAAAACAATATATGATCAATTTACGGATTGAATACGAATCGAATTAATGTGCATGTACATTGTCCGTGTTATATCACATGATCCCTTTTACTTAAGTCTGTTTGCCACTAAAGTATAATTTATTTGGGAATTTTGGGCGACGCGAATCGTCCCAAGACAGACTGATTACAATATTTGTTGCAATTAGACATTTTAGGCACCAAACACTGACGGAAATGTTGGTTTAAAATACGATTATGGACATGATCGTGAAACAGTAAAACGAAATTACGGATTCAATATAATGACTGAAATGCAAATGTTAATTGGTCCATTTACACACTTTACTCAGCGTTGCTAAGCTATATAAACACGGGCAATTGTCACAATACTAAATAAGTCAATATTAAAGTCACGTTTTATGAACAGAGAAACAGTGCGGCCTCAAAGAGAAACACAGCAGCCTCAAAGAAATCGTGCTTCACGACACGTACTTTAAAACAGGTGTAATTAAGACTCTTGCACACAGTTGCATAATGGCTGTCTTACTAAGCATTTGTGCTTTAATTTTCATATCAAGAATACTCCAGTTGGGTGAATGCTCAGTCACCCAGGCCTTCTTTCGCAAAATTGATGGCAAATATTTAACGAATCATGTCATCGAAACAAAACACGCTGAAACTGAGTTAGAATGCTGCATGCATTGTGTTGCCCATGGATCATGCGTGTCGGTTAACTATGAAACATCTGGAATCGGTAAAGGTCGATGCGAGCTCAACAACCAGACCCTTCAAAACACTGGCACATCTAGCGATGATGAAAGTACGAGAAACCCCGAGTTCAAACATCTTTATTTGATCAAAAAGGTTTGACTATAACGAAATTTATTTCTTCTGAAATTTCTGTTATTTCGTACCAGACGTACGAACAAGTGTTTTCTGCGAACAAACAATTCCGAGAAATATCAGAATGTCACGAGTAAATATGACATAGTATTCTTTTTTACAATAGATATCTTCGAAACCAATTGCAACCAGCACCCCACAGTCGTCACAAAATCTCTCCAAAGGTACAAAATCTTTTGTTTACGCGTGGGATGATTGAGTTTATCCGAACGAATAAGTACACGTAGTCAAAGAGCTAGAGCAAAGTTTCATGCTCTTATTTCATTTCATTTTGTGTTTTGCTAGCTTTAAAATTATAAGTTTCTTAATGTTTCTTAAATACGAGCAATGCTTCTCTCATTATTTGCTGCTCAGCCGCGATATTGCACAGTTTAGACGTATCT